CTACTACTCCTCCAGACCCGCGAGCTGCCCAGCGGCAGGTGGGCGCTGCACTCGGCCTCCGTGAGCCACAACGCCTCGGCCTGCGTGGTGGACAGGTGAGTCTCCAGCATCTCCGCCCTGCGCCTCCGACCTGGACAGCCTGCAGTGCCCCGAGGGGGCTCCCTCCGCCTCAGGACCTCTCTCCAGCACACTCAGCTCCGCAGCTCTGGCCTAACCGCCCTCCTCTCTCTGGGGCCTGTTACAGCGGCCTCTTCATTATCCATTTCTGGAGCCTAGAAGCCCCGCAGCGAGGCGCGCTCCATCCTTCATTAGCGGTTTCTCCCAGCCAGGCAGCTCCTCCAGCCTCATCTTTAATAGGGAGCTTCACTCCCCTCCGCGACTCTGGCTTCAATGGCATTCCTAGTGGGTCGTATTTTTTACGCTCCAGTTGTCGTGACCGGGAGTTTTGAGCGATACTTTCCTCCCAGTAAATCAAAAAGGAAGCCGTTTGCCTGGAGAGGAAGTGAGGCTGATAGAGATGAAGTGTGGTTAACTCTTGAGAGCCGCGGCCCTTCCTAAATTTACTGAATTCGGGAAAGGGGTGGCAGTTCCTGGAGGGGGAGTTGCTGTGTTCCTCCTTCGAGGCAAGAAATATGCAGATGGTCCCTCCTGGGGACCATCCCCCCTGGGGACCATCCCTCCTGGGGACCTATGGCTTATAATGGAGCTAAAGGCGTGGCCGCACCCCAAGCTGGCATGGTCTAGGGACCAGCCTGGGAGCTCAGGGCCTGGCCCCTGTTTGTCCCACGTAACAGACCTTCTTTCTGAGCCTCAGTGTTCCCATCTGTGCAATGGATCGACAACCCTGCCCCTTGCCCCGTGCAGAGATGACGAGGCAAGGCAATTAGGGAACCTCCGTTCACTGAGCCCGGTTCCCCTACAGGCTCAAGCCCTTCACGTCCTACAAGTTCCGAGTGAAGGCGACCAATGACATCGGGGACAGTGAGTTCAGCGAGGAGTCGGAACCGCTGACCACCCTGCAGGCTGGTCAGTGCCCCCACCCTTGGGTGTCTTTCTCTTGGTCCACTGGGTACCTCCTGAGCACTAGGTGACCTCTTCGGTGAGGGGAGGGGCCTCCAAAGATGGGAGGGGCCTGCTAGGCCAGAGGGGGCCTTGGCCTTGGGCTCAGCACCCACAGCCAGCCTGACTCCTAGTGCATTTCTTCTCTGATATCTCTCAAGCTGGTGGCCAACCCCAGAAAACCAGTGAATGGGAGTTGGGGGGCCTCAGGGGCAGGGGCAGAGGCCTGTGGCTTTCTGAACAGAGAGGAGGGGGCACTGGGCTCTTGGGCTGTGGTCAAGGTCCCCGCCCCTCTCTCCCTTCACCCTGGCCCTCTGCTCTGCAGAAGTTGGGGTGGTGGGTGACCTGAGGCGGAGCTGCCCACAGTTCAGTGTCCTCCCAGGGGGCCTCAGTCCCAGCCCCCAAAGCTCACCTGTCTGCCTCTCTCCCCAGCCCCCGACGAAGCGCCCACCATCGTCTCGGTGACACCCCACACCACCACCTCCGTGCTGATCCGATGGCAGGTGAGGCCCAGCAGCAGGGAGGGGCCGGGCACCAACCTCGGCCCACCTGCAGCCCCCCCGAAGGGAAAGTCCTTAAAGAGAAAACAGGGCGGGACCCCCGAGCCCTCCCCCAGCCCAAGGCTACATCCCTCAAATGACCGTGACCTAAGCAGCTGGGAGCCCTGAGAGACGAGCAGATGGAGCCATGGTGGTGAAGGGGCTGGGAGGTGCCAGCAGCCGCTAGGGATGCAACTAAGGATCAAATAAAGGGCTGAGTGGTTTCAGCAGGATTTTTAAGAGAGGTGTCATAAAAAGTAGCTTTCCCCGTCTCCCGAAGCTTGTTCTGCTCAGCTGTGGACGAGAGCAGAAAGCAAAGGAGACACAATCGAGGTGCGGGGAGGGAGGGGAAAGGGGGGTGGGGGTACATCTGCCCTTGTTCTGGCCTCAGAGCTGGAGAGGACTAGGCTCTCGGGAAACTCCAGGCAGAGGGACCAGCAGGCTGAGGGTAGCTAGTGACCATGTCAGGCAGCTCCTAGTCAAGGTCCAGCTCTATGAGAAGATCCAGGTCAGGCTGGGCCCCAGTGATGCTGTGTGACCGTGGGCAAGTTCCTTAACCTCTCTGAGCCTTGCCTTTCTGCTCCGTTAGGTGGGATGGCACGGTGATTCCTGCCCTTCCTTGCCTCGTAGGGCCTGCTGCGAGGATGAAATAGCCGTGTTGGAAATGCCTTGTGAATTAAAAAGGCTCAGTGTCATTTTGTCTCCTTTTCCTGGTTGAGGCCCAGTCTCTGCTCTGAGGCGGGGAGGGAGGGGGGATGAGAGTGGAGGAGGGTGAGCTGCATGGTCCCGGCCCCTCTCCATTCCCCACTCCCTTCCCTGCAGCCACCAGCCGAGGACAAGATCAATGGCATCCTCCTGGGCTTCCGGATCCGGTACCGCGAGCTGCTGTACGAGGGTCTGAGGGGCTTCACGCTTCGTGGCATCAACAACCCGGGGGCCAGGTGGACAGAGCTGACCTGTGAGTGACACTGCGGGACTGGTGGGGGGCTGGGGGGGCAGTGCAGGCTCGCCTGCCTAAAGCTCTCAGCTTCCTGGAATCTCTCTAACCCGAAACCCTGCCATCCACCCCCGTGTGTGCCTCTCACCCCTGTGCCCTTCGATCACTGAGCGAGTCTTTATAGAGCACCTTCTCTGTGCCCTGGACACCGTGGACAAAACAGACAGGGTCCCTGCCCTCTCAGAGCTCCAAGGCTGGGGAGGACGTAGCCCCGGAGAGCCTAGGCCGGTGTGGGAAAAGGCTGCCCAGGGGGACGGACACTGATGGAGGATTCCATGGCAACCAGTCCAACGGGACAGGGAGAGCCCAGCATGTGCAAAGGGCCTCGGCTGGTTGGCCGAGTCTGGTCACCGCCCAAGGGTAGCAGCCCGGCCCCCTCCGGTTCCAGGGAGGTCACTGTTCTGCTCTGGGCTCCTCAGAACCCAGCCTGCCTCTAGGGAAGGGGGACATCCCAGGGAGAGTCACGAGGGAATGACCTGTTGCATTTGGGGGTGAGAAGGGTTGCGTTGGTGGCATGATGGCTAGCGATGGGGTCCAGAGGCAGGGCGGCCAGTAGGAGGCTAATGCAGGAGCGTGGGCAGGAGCGTGCGGTTGGGGCCAGGATGGCCGGCTCAGGATGGGACTGAGGGCCGGTATCGGAGATGACGTGCCGTGGGCTCCATGGCGGACTCAGGTAAGGGACAGGGACAGGGACAGGTGGGAGAGGGAGGAGTCCAGAGGATTTGGGTGCCCAGGTGGGAGGTGGGACCATTCACCAAAACAGAGGCTAGCAGGAGGGGCAGAGCCGTTTAAGATCCTCTCCGCTATGAATTTTCCTCCCGTAATTCCCCTGAGCTCTTCCGGCCTTGTCTCCAAGCGAGGATTCGCAGACAACGCAGTGATGGACCGCGCAGCTCAGGCGCCTTAATAGAAAACCTCGGAAGTAGCAGACCCGGGGCCTGCGTTGTTTGTTTATTTTGCTGGTGGTTTTTCTATTACCCATGATTCATAGTCATGTTTCCTGGTAGGAAATAGTTCCTGGTTCCTATGAGGAAATTAACAACCACTGCTTGATGGTGGTTTGCAGGAGCAGAGGCCAGGGAACGAGCCGGGGTGAGAGGGTTCCCCCAGCATGTCCCCAGGGATGCTGGGCCCCAGGGGGCTCAGGGTACCCCGTGACCTCAGACCAGCGCACACCAGGGCAGGGCAGCACTGGCGCCTAGCTCAGCCTCGGGAACCCCGACCCTCTCTCCGTCCTGCCCCCCTCATTGGGGTCTTCGTGGAGGGGCGTGTGTACTAACCTCCGCTGTCTGCTGTCTCCCTCCGGCCCCTCCCTCCGCCTCCCCACCCGGTAGCCTTGTTCTCCATGCGGAACCTGAGCCGGCCCAGCCTCACGCAGTACGAGCTGGACAGTAAGTCTTGCATGGCGGCTCCGTCTGGGGCCCACGCCCTCCGCAGGGATGGGGAGCGGGGGCCTCTGAGGACACCTGGCCGCAGGCGAGTGGCGCGCCCACCTCGGGCTACTGCAAGAACGGGACCACCCTTCGCATGTGCGAGTTTCCCACAACACACCGAGACGCAGGGCCCCCAGGGAAGCTGTCCTCCAGGCCTCTGTCCGTGGGGTGCGGCACGGAAAAGCAGCCAGCTCTGGTCTGTGTGCTGGGCTGGGGGACGGTGGGGCCGTCATGGGAGCTGTTGGCTCGGCTGGTTGGCCACACGGGTGTCCATGTCACCGCCGCCCCAGCTGGCCCAGCAAAGGCACCTGCAGCTGGGCTCTGTCTTCCAGCCCAGACCCAGCCGTGGAGGGAGCAGCCCGCCCCCTTCCCTCCAGGGACCAGGAAACCTTGCTGCCTGCGCAGGGCCCGCCCTTGTCCTGTTTCTCAAGTCCCAGCTGTGGTTCCCCAAAGTCCTGGGGCCTTGGACAAGGGACTCCCTCTCCTTCCTTCCTCACCGGTGGCTGCACGGCCCGCTCCCCACTCCCACTCCAGAAGGGAGAATGTGCACCCAGAAAGGGAGATGGGGAGTCAGCCGCGCCCCCGGCAGGGGCAGCATCCCCGACCAGGATGTCAGAGCCCATTTCCTGCTTCTCTCCCAGCCACTGTCCAGGCATCTCACCCAGGTGCCCCAAACCCGGGGAAAACGCAGGGTTTCTTAGCCCAGAGTTCACGTCCAATAAGCCCCTTCCCTTAGGGCTGAGCCCGCTGTCAGGAGCTGGTGCTGGAAACTTTTAGCATCTGCCATGTGGAGCAGGAGTGACCCGTGACCCGGTGTGGCCAGGACAGGCAGGGAGTGACCTGTGACCCAGGACAGGCAGGGGAGTGACCTATGACCCAGGACAGACAGGGGAGTGACCTATGACCCAGGACAGGCAGGGGAGTGACCTGTGACCCAGGACAGGCAGGGAGTGACCTACGACCCAGGACAGGCAGGGGAGTGACCTGTGACCCAGGACAGGCAGGGGAGTGACGTGTGATCCGGTGTGCCCGGGGCAGCCTTGGTTCTCACCAGTGTCAGGAGTGACCTATGACCCAGGACAGGCAGGGAAGGGGTGACCCGTGACCCGGTGTGCCCGGGGCAGCCTTGGTTCTCACCAGTGTCTCGACACAACCATGACCAGTGCCCCTTTCAGTCTCAACCGTGTGCCCTAGGGTCCCCCTGGGCCAGGAAGCCAGCCAGCATCCCCTGGGTCCAGGTCCCAGGCCTCCTCTTACCTGCTCTTTCCTGAGTCTCCACTCAGGGACTAGCATCACCGGGTACACCATCCAGCCTCCCCCACAGCCCCACCCTCCATGGCTCTGTCCCCTGCAGGACCGTGACCTCTGTGTGTCCCTCCCCTCCCCCCTCTCGCCCACCACAGACCTGAACAAGCACCGGCGCTACGAGATCCGCATGACCGTGTACAACGCCGTGGGCGAGGGGCCCCTGAGTGCCCCGCAGGAGGTCTTCGTCGGGGAGGCAGGTGAGTGCCGCTGCCCCAGGGCCCCAGCCCGCCTTTCCCGCCCCGAGGCCCAGCCCGCCTCCTTCTCCTCCCGGGAGTCACCGGCTCCGCACACTCACCTCCCCTCATGCCCTCCAGTGCCCACGATGGCGCCCCGCAACGTGGCCGTCCACGGCCCCACGGCCACACAGCTGGACGTGATGTGGGAGCCTCCCCCGCTGGAGAGCCAGAACGGAGACATCCAGGGCTACAAGGTACGGGCGCTCCAAAGGCCAGGCTGGGGGTTGGGGGTGACCCACAGTTGGTGGTGGAAGAGGCCCCCAGGTCTACACCTGCTGTTGGTACACAGCCCACAGGATTATGGTGCAGCTGGGACAAAAGTACCCCCGCCTGTGCCACGTCCTGGGACACAGGAACTCGGGCCTCGCCCTCCCAGCCCCCCAGCGCCAACATCAGATCCATGCAAAGCAGCTATTTGGCCAACCCTCATTGCATTGATGCTTGATTGGCTGGCCACTGTCTAAATCTCTATTTAAAAACTATTTCTAAATGTGTACTGATGTCACCCGTTAGGGCAGGAGTCCGTTAGTCCCCATAAGTCACGGAGCCCTTGAGGACTCCTTCATCCTCTTGAAAGCCCTGGGAAGCTGGTAGATGATCCATATGTGTGCCCATTGTATAGATGAGGAGACTGAGGCCCAGTTCCGGGACCCGGCCAGGTCACAAAAACAGCAGGTGGCAGAGAATCAGACCCCAGGTGTGCTGGCCGCCACTCCACCAGGGGCGGAGAGGAAGCGCTGAGCACACAGCCACCAGAGGAGCTGGAGCCGTTAGGACACAGCCCTGAGCCGTGTCTGGAGCCTGCCTCCCGTTCCCGTGTCCAGAGAATGGCCCAGGCAATGGCAGGTGTGGCGTATGAGGGCCACAAGGGGCCCTGTGGTCACCTGGCTCAGCCATCACTGCGCAGGCAGAAACCGAGTCTCCGAAAAGGCGCAGGGCTCACCCCATCATGGGGCTGGTTAGTGCCGGGGGCCCTGGTTTAAGACAGAATCCGGAGTAGGCGTCTCTTTCCATCTGGGGCGAAGGAGGCGGGAGAGAGGAGGAAAGACATCTTGCCAAGGAAGCGCTAAGGACGGATGACACCCCTGGAGTCCTTGCCGGGGAGTGCCAGCTGGGAACACTCAATATCGCGCCCGGAGCATATGCCTCCCAGGGAGGAGGAAGGAGCCGGGCGGAGCCTGCGAAGTGTGGCAGCCACCAGGCGGTCGAGGTGTAGAAGTCTCCGTTAATGTGCACACCCAGGAAGCGTGTGGGTGCGCAGACTCCGTATGCCCCCCCGCCCCCCGCAGACATCTGCGCGCTCGGGGAAACCTCGTAGCCACGGATGTTAACCGGGGAAATGGAATTTCCACCTCCCAGACGTGGATGAGCAGCCACATCCATTGCCCTGAACCGTGCGCCGGGGTCACACGCTGGTGAGCACAGCTGAGACGGACTGCGTCAGGGTCGGCCCGAGCTGTGCCGTGTGCACAGGCAGGCCCGTCCCTGCAGCTGCTGTCCTTCAGTGACGCGTGCTTACTGAGCAGTGACTTTGTGCCCAGCCGTGTTCTCGGTCAACGTGAAGGTAAACCGTAGGGGAAGGAGACGCGCGACGTTCAAAACAAGTGGCAGCTCCAGGTGGCGGTCAATGAAGCAGGTTAAGGGGAGAGAGGCCGAGGGGGGGTGTGAAAGTGTGAGTAGGTTTGTTAGGCAGGGACTTAGCGGGAAGCTGACACTTGAGGAAAAACGAAGGATAGCAGGTGCATGAATCACATGGACCTGGAAGAGGAGCATTCCAGGAAGAGAACAGAGAAGAGCAAGGGTCCTGGGGTCAGAGGCTGCTTGGCGTGTGGGCCAGCAAACAGCCCTGTGTGTCTCAGAGTGCGTGGGGAGCGGCATGATGGGACGTGAGCCTGGGCAGTGACCACGGCCACACAGCCCTCACTGAATGAGGTGACAGGCAGGAAGGTTTGGGGCCAAAGGAGGGGCGTGGATGACTTGGGTCTGTAAAGGGCTGTGCTGGCTGCAGTGCAGAGTTGTCTGAAGGGAGCAGGCACATCACGCGTGAGACCCAGTGGCGGCTGAGCTAAGATGGGGCGGTAGCGAGGCGGCAAGGTTTGCTCTCCGGTTCCAGGTGAAGGGTAGAGCCGGCAAAACGTGCTGACCCAGTGAATGTGGGGTGTGAGGGCAGGAGGAGCGACAAGCGTTAGCGAGCAATTGGATGATGGAGCTTCCAGCTCCGGCGAAGGCATTCGCACTCGCCAGGCGGGGACGCTTTTGTGAGCTCTTGCCCACTTTGATTAGCTTCCTCCAGGCAAGCGGAGAAATTAGGCCCGTAGCCTCAGAAACCGCTTCTGCCAGCAGGTGGCGACAAAGGCCCACTAATCCTCCACTCAGAGTGGTGCTAGGAGCTCTCGGGGACGCCTCACCAGCAGTCACAGCCTTAGTAAATGGTGCACTGAGGGTCATGCAGCTCCAGCCCCGCCAGCTTCTGCAGCTGGCGTTGCAAACTGCAGGGTGCCCGTGGGACGCGTCAACACACCCTGCATCCTACCCAGCACCCAGGTGATACTACCTCCTGGTCCTTGCACCCCATTCTTGGTTGGGGTGCACCCTCCGCTGCGCTTACCTTCCGTTGCAGGTCCTGCCAGCACCACCATAAACACACAGCAGGCCTGTGCCCTCGTGGGGTTCCCAGCCAGGTGATACGACCTCCTGGTCCCTGCACCCCATTCTTGGTTGGGGTGCACCCTCCGCTGCACTTACCTTCCGTGGCAGGTCCTGCCGGCACCACCTAAACACACAGCAGGCCTGTGCCCTCGTGGGGTTCCCAGACAAGCAGAAACTGTAGTGTTAGAAAAGGAAGGTTCTGGAAGGGTTGCTACGCTCTTAAATGCCTCCACACTATTTCCTGGGTCACTCACGCCTCCCGTCCAGGTGTGTGGACGGCTCGAATGCAGGTGTCCTGAGACCCGGGTGTCCTGAGACCCGGGTGTCTCGGAGACACTGTTGTCCATCCCCCGCCCGCCCCTTCGTCTGTGTCCGCAGATTTATTTCTGGGAGGCCCAGCGGCAGAACCTCACCGAGCGGGTGAAGACGCTCTTCCTGGCCGAGAACGGCGTGAAGCTCAAGAACCTGACCGGCTACACCACCTACATGGTCAGCGTGGCGGCCTTCAACGCCGCGGGGGAAGGGCCTCGGAGCACCCCCACCCGGGGTCAGACCCAGCAAGCAGGTGGGGAGACCGCCGAGGGGGAGGAGGAGTCGCCCTGGGGGGTGGAGGAGGGACCTTCCGGCCCTGGCCGCTGGGCTCATGAGGAATGGAGACAGCCACCTGCTGCCACCCCCTGAGACATCTGGGCTGGGTACCCAGGCCCCTGGGATGCCCTCCACAGCCCCCAAAGTGGCCAACATGGGATGCTCAGAAGAGTAGTTTTCTCCATACAGCTTTGGGGAGAGCCCCCAGACCG